CTCAAGCCATGACAGAGCACTTGTTGGATCTCTGACTTACAGTTATCAAATTGCATCGAATTCCAAGTGATGTCTGCCACTCCGGGGTAGAGACTTTTGGCGACTGCGTTCAAAAATGGCTGAAATATCGCCGTCATAGGCTGGGCAATGCAAAGCTGCAGTTTTTCAAACCGCAAAAGTTGCTCCTTAAGTCTGCAAAAAACAAGATAATCAAACAAAATAGGTGGAGAAAAATTGACAGTATTTTTTGTTCAACTATCTCACTGATCATTATGGTTCTTGAGCTCCCTCTCCTGGAGTAGGAGCTCCATGGCGATCTTGGGCACCTTGAGACCGAGTTTGCGGAGGATCTGGGACTCCCGAATGATGGTCAAGGTGGTGAAGGGGGGGTTTACTGAAAACTGGCCTCTCTCGGGGTCACGAGTTAAGAGAGGAGATTCAAGGAGTTTACATGAGGTATCCTCAAGGCTTTTGCACCACTTGCGGTAGTTCACTGCCTCGTATTTTACCAGAACAGTTGCTAGTTGGTTAAATCGTTTAACCTGCTTCTGACCTTCCGGTGTCTACAAACAATGAAGTTAGTCTCTCAATTTTTTCTTTTCACTTTTTACCAAACTAAAAAAAACCCAGGGTCACAGTTCCTCAAGGTCAAACATGATATCTTGTCTTGTCTTTACTCTTTACCTAAATCACCAATTAGAGATGAATGAGATCTACCTTCTATTAACCTCATTTCATATCAAAACCTAAAAAACTGATTCCAAATTTTATTTACAAACTTAACAAAAATGCTCAAGATAATATTCCTGACTGATTTACTTTATGAAAGTTTGAAAGGTAGGAGTATGTGTCCGTGGTATTTAAAGCCGTTGGGTAGTATGCCAAATTACTGAATATTTAAATGATAAGAATTTTTTATTCTCATGGAATCTGATCACCCACGTTTTCGTCCTCCCTTTTCAGAGAATGTAGTTTATGTTATGTGTGATTCTAGGATATTCAAATGGCAGGGAAATGTGATAGCAACCACTTAAAGAAGAGTTGAGAGGATCAGAATGGTACGGTGTCTCCCTTCCATCCTTATAAAAAGGGGTTCGCGTGGGTCAGTTTTGTGGTATACGACATAAGGTGTTTTTTTGTAAGAGCACGAACGGAACTTTATCGCCACTGTCTGACTTGACCGGACTGTTCTGGCTGTTGCATCAGATGGATAGAACCGAGATCCAATTGATTGGTCTTCAGCAAGAAGGCCAAACGTGGTGAACGATCAAGTTGTCAGTCCACTACAAACACACATACTGTTGTGTTTTTTTGTGTATAATCACGGACACTATTAAGATTCCCACCCGCGTAATCAAGCAATACTACCTCGGGAAAGCGAAGTCTTTGTGTTTATTGCCATAACCCGATGCCTCTGCACGCTCCCACTGAGTAGAGCACTAAGTTATGGGTCAGCGTCATTTTTGTGAATTGACAGTCTCACCGAATGACTGTGGCCTTATTGTGGACATTAGCAGACTTCCAATGTTTCTACGTCAACATTGAACAATCAGGGGGTTTAGTCTGTGGGAGCCATTTTTGAACATTAGAAAAAGAGGTTCGTAGAAAGTTTCAGATCACCGAAACGGAGGCGCTATTTCTTAACTTATAGTCTATAATAGGAGGGAGTTTGTCCTCTTATCTACATCCAATTTAGCGTCTGCCAGCAGTTGAATTGATGGACGCAAAATAACTACAATTGTGTCTACTCAAGAAGGTTTATAAGGCGAGGCGATGTTAAGAAATGATCACTATTGCATTTATGTGTAGTAGTCCTTAGGTCTTCCATCACATTCAAGTCAACTTTTACCTTGTTTGTAACAATTTTTGTCCTGTTATCTGTCTCTAAGCCCTATTGTGCTCCTTCCAACGTCACCAGGAGCGCATTTGACGGTATGGTAATCTGCACTCTCATTCCGGCCTACCGCTTGAAACCTTTCAGTCTCGGTAAGTCACTAACCTTTAAGCATATTCCAAAGCGACTCGTGCGCTCGAATACCAGCTCCCTATCTGGTTTATTCTGATTAAGACCAATGTCTATTAAGTTCTACTTATTTCCTAAGGGAAATAGCTCTGAACCCGAGATAATGATCCTCTTACCTCAAGCGCACTAGGACAGCGATTGTGGATTGCGTCGAGTGGTTGTCTTATTCTGTGAAGCAGAGCTCTGGCCCATCGAATTCGCCCAGCAGTCGGGGTCATCCCCCGCTCTAGCGGCGGCGACCGTTTCTCCTCCTCGTAAATATCTCGCACGTGCTCCAACTCGTCACCATAGACACGCAAGATTTGTAAGTAGCGAGGGACAAAATCCAGATCCGGATCCGTGATCCGAATCTCCCATAGGGAAAGGAAGTGAAGGAGGTGGGATGCCTTGAGGGTGGAAGAGGGAAGAAAGTTGGAGGAATGAGATATGGCTAAAGGAGGGAGGGAACTTGGTATAAATGGGAGCTTACGGAAAGGCGTCGAGAAAGCCATTTGTCTAATAGGGAGTTGATTTGGGTGAGTAGGGACTTGCGTTGGGCTTGAAAAGACTCCAAATCGGCCGTGAACTGTCAGAGAGGTAATTATAAATTATTCGTAAGGTATTTTTCTATATTAATTATATTTTGGGGATGGGAGGAGGTTTCGTTACATGAAGCATTATTTTTTTTGCAAAAAACTTCACAAAAAACTGTACTTTTAGAAATTTTATTAATCCCCAGTAAGTTGTTTCCCTATGAATAACCTGCACGAAAACTTAAAACTTTCTATAGCGAAAAATCGCTAAAATAGTCTGTCAAGAAATATTAAGGTAAATCTCAATCTTTTTTTCTTTTGTACTTTACATTAGATGGTTAGATGCTGCCTGACGAAGCGCTTTTGCTGTGCCGTCGGTGTGTGCACGCGCCCCCATGGGCCGCAGGGGTGTCAGCACCGCGAGGATGAACGGCCTTTGGACTGGTCCTCAATCAAGTTAACTAATCATACGGTACTGGGAAAGTAGCAACGCCCTAGACAAATAATTGCCTGTCTCTTTGGCCATCTGTACATTAGTTTTGTGTCTCCAGCACACTGTGGAAGGGACTTCAATTAGACTGAGTCTTCGTCAGGAGGAGCCTTGACTACCCTCAATGGTTAAACTTTGTAGAGACATGACCCTTAATTTATCTTCTGCGAGCTGATGATTTTACACTTATGGGAGCATTGTGCCAAATCGGTTTTAAATTTTGTTTAAGAGATCTTCAACACTAATGTTTAAGTAGTGACGACCAAACACACAAACATGAAGAATTTTGCATCTAATCGTATTTTTGAAGCAAAAAACTGTATAAAGACAATTGACAATTCACCTGTTTATTTCTGGGGTCAGTCGGATCGCCAGTCCACTGGTGGATGGAATCCAGCATACTCTGCCATGCACTTATCACGTCCATCGTGTCGTCAGCATGAAGCGTTAAAATCGGTCTCAAGTTCTCCACAACAATCAGCAAGTCGTCAATTTCCGAGAGTCGACGACAAAAGGCATCAAATTTCCCGAAAATTTTGTTCTCACTGAGCAAAAGCTAAACTTGAAATAGAGTTCCCACCTGCAATTCAGTTGTCTTCCATCCGGAGTTGCTGCCAACTTCGTCTTTACTGCATAGAAATTTTTGCAGTACACGTGATATAACTCTAAACACCCATTAATCCTTTCATGGACTTCTTTGCTAAAGCGTCAAATCAAATCCAACAGGAAATTATTTAAGGCACTTGATATTGTGTTGCACAATTTTAGGCAATAAGCATTTGTCCAGATTTCGGAGAAAGGCATACTTTTCGTGGACAACTGTTTTGCTATCGCACAGTAGTTGACATAATTGACTCTCTTAGAAGCCACTTTTAAACCTAATTTGCCCTCTGCCAGCTTTGATTATTACAGTTTGATCACTTAGCGCTACTAATTCAACATCATGGGCAATAAATATGTGGATGACCGCGAAGTGTAAAAGGTAATCCAAACCTTGGGAGGTCCCAAATTTTGTCTACCCCTGAGTACAAAAATTGGCGACACGCGCTGACCATCTTGTTGGTCACTTTCACGAAGAGCGAAGTTATTCGCTCGTTAGTGTTGAAGTACTCTGACACCTCGAAGATCACCTTGATAGAATCCACCAAGGCTGGAACCTCTTCTTTTAGTTTTTTCTGGTCAAATGTCGTTAGTAATGTAGGCGATATTAACTTACCGGACTGTCGTGGAATACCGATCCGAAGTACTTTTCAAAGCTGGTCAGGAACCGAACGTTACTTCTCGCTTCTACTGCATATTTGGAGATCTGATTGGTCTGCAAGTTGAAAGACTCTCGGATACACAATGCCGATGCTGGTGGTGGACTTGCAGGAGCAGATTTATCCTTTGTTAAACTACTTCCTAGATATTTTGAAAGCATTTGTGCTATTTCTCATCCGCGATTATTACCTCCTTCCGTAAGAATTCGCTGAATTTTAAACTTAAAATTAAGAAAAAACAGTTTTAAAATTGTCTACCAATTTTTGGCAAAATTCATCAAATTAGCAGCAAAATACTCTTCTCAATTTTCCTGCTTGAATGTGCTTTTAAACTTACTGCAAAATGTTATTCCCCAATTATTAAAGTGTAGTGGAAAAATAAAGGCTTCCCCTTAAGAAGGCTGTTTTTTTACCAAATCATTCCACAAGTCAAGTGATGCCAATTTGACCCCTTCGAGAGCTTTCGTAACGATGGACGCTTCAAGACTTGACATGCGTTCCATGAGTCTGAAACCGCACACAAGTGCGAATAAATTTTTACAAAATGTAGGTTAACAAATGAGTAGTCAAATTTGCGAAATCAGTTTTTTTTTAGAACGTTGAACCTCAGAGAATCATTTCTCCGTGGTGAATATCATTTCCTAGACATAAAAATATAGACTTATAGGTAGGTGACTTAGAATTCTTCAAACGAGTACCTACTGAACCACGTGGATTCCACATGCTTTGCATGTTTGACCTTTAATTCGGTGGTGTGACGTCATCCCTATAGCTCCTTCCCTCACGGTGAAAGGACACTCTTCCACATTTATCCGCCTTACTGCGTCTCCAGAGATGACTCAAAGCGCCACAACAAAGTGGTGCATTGTGACTTAAAATAAGCCTCCTTCAGTTGTTGGAACTGCCTGCAGCCCCCAAAAGAATCCCCTTTTCGATTCTCGAGAAATCTACTTTAATTTCTGTTTCTCAAACATTCCAAAAAGTTTCAAAACGCGCGTTCTTGCTCAGGTCTCCTAATTTGGGTCTAAATAGACATTAAGTGACACAGACGGATTAATACACAAGAATGGAACCGCCCTCTTTTCGTTACTTAGCCGGCAGTCAGATATGCATCCACGGACGCGATGGGAGCGAAAAACGTCCGCATCGAAGCTGTTAGCATCTGATATCTTTACTTAAGAAAACGAATCCGTCAAATGCATCGTATTAAGGTTACAAATCCATAGTGAGGTAATAACCTTCAACCTAATCAGTAGAATTATCCTGAACCTTCAAACCCTTTCCTTCAAATAACCAGTGCTTTACCCCATTTGGTACCTGAAAGAGTTCACCGCAACTTGCATCTAATCAGTCGCTATGTGAGTAGAAGCAAATAAAATAAACTCCACCTATTAAGAGTGTCCCATCGAGAGCGCCAGTAAGCCAGTTCATCCGAAGGTCCAGCATCATCAGTCTCCTTGATGATGAGGTTCAGCTCATTCACTGTCAATCGCACCTGCTTGTTCCATGCGGAGAGCACACCGTCCAGTCTTCGCAACACGTCCTTGTTAAGACCTGGGCATTCGGACAACACAGAAATTGTTTTATCCTAGCGCTTAATTAGCATTTGTGTCTAGGCATACAGGTAGGTGTAAGACTGTGTAACGAATTAAGGAGAGTTAATATTTGGAAAAAGTTAACCTTTTCCACAAAAAGTAAAAAAAGCATTCGGAGTGCATTGTTTTCGTCATCTTAGCAACTCGCTACAGCTCTTCTGATATTTAGTCCCACATGAATGTCACCAATTCCAAGATAAGGCATGCCACGATCTTGCAAAGAAAACTAGTGTGCGCAACGAAAAACTGGACGAAAGCTTCACTAAATGGATTAAAAGTATTTCAAGTTAGCCACATAGGCGTAGAACATGGAATAAAATTGGAGGGTCTAACATCTCCGCATGGTATCCAAGATCTGACAATAAGCCAAATGGATGTCCGTCAGCACTAAAACGATGCCAAAATGATAAGACACTTCACAAAGTCCCGGATATATGGAAACCTTTGTCACTTCGGAGCCGGACATCTTTATATGTTTGACCTCGACGCATCAAATACGGGCTGTTTCTGACACGGAGGAAGCGGTAGGAAAGTAAGATGAGAATCAAATTAGGGCAAGAAAGTTGTTGGAGGATTTTATCCATTAAAATGCCAATCATTGACAAGAAATAGGCTTGCAAATTCATCTACTAAACGTTCGTCTCTAATAGGAAAAACCCAGGCCTTGCCGCCTGTGTTCCTGTCCCAGCTCTATTCCCCATTGTCCACTTTGAATTCAACTACCAAGAACAGGTGATAAACAGTGCCAGGAGAGTGCTGAGGATGAGGATATGGTTGCGGAATTTTCATAGTAAGACTTTCACTGCTCTGTATGAAGAAGAAGGGGGCATTCTCTCCTCTGGCGCATAAGATGTAACTATTTTCTGAAGAAAAAGTTGTTCCACTACAACCTCGAAATGTATCGTGCTGAATTGCGTGAATAAAACAAGGAAGTCACATTTTTTGAGCATTAATTAAGCCGAGTGTGAGTGGGTCGTTTGGGGGTACCTAATGATTTATCCGCTTCCTTAACGATCGCTTGCTTCTCGCCACAAGTCAATCTGCCAGTCAGCAAAATGTTCGCAATGCACGACACGTTTTTTTTACCTCACTGTTATCTGTTAGTGCTTGGCGTAGGAGCTAAACTCCTTTAACTTAGCTCTCTCCAAAATTTCCCTGCTCATTCACACGTTAGCTATCTGTTTCATTACTCACGTTTAGCAAAGACATGCCTGCAAGGTGTTCTTCACACACTCATCTCCACTTTTTTTGCCAACACTGACATATCACTCGTCACTGCTGAAGAGGAGAGGATTTCGTAGAAAGTGATGCAGCTAATTTTAAGTGAATCAACATTAAAACCAGACCATCTGAGTGGTGCACTCTATTACTTCACACTACAGATTCTCCAAGCACTGAATCAGAGGTTGAATGAGAAGTCTCTGCACCTTTGGAATCGAACAAAACTGGGCTGTCAGGGTAAATCAGCTCGAGTCACATACATCGTGTTCAACCAGCATTGAATAAATAAAAGTGACAGGAAAGTGGTAGAGGACATGATGAAGAGTACCGTGTCAACACAAGCAACTCCATTCATTTGACATGTACCTTCAGGTCACATCAAGTCATTGCCAAAACCATACCAAAAATCTCGCAAACTTTTGGGTCACTCAGTACCTAGCGTATTTGACCTTATAAATCTACTTTGGGGTGATGAAACACAAACCCTGAAGCACTTCTGTTGGAATGTTTACAACTTCCAGACGAAGGTTCCTGTTTTGCTGCTACATACTTTGTAAGCACATTCGGGTGTTTTAAAAAATTTCAAAATTCGCACTTTCTCCGAGTTTTTACCCAAACGGCCAGTAATTCGTGTAAGGTCAAGGCCATTCAAACGGTGGAAGTATGCGAGAATGGTAGCCGTACTTGGAGTGTGCAAAGGTCACAGGAGGTGATGACCTCCCTTAGGTCGTGAAAACGCCATGACAACTTTAGCACCTAATCAAAGCGATGTACGATCGAACAATAAAAAAACAATTGATCAAAAATAATTATTTACTACCTTTAAAATCTTTGCTCCTCTTAAGTGAAGCAATAAGGGCTTCATCCTCCTTCGAAGGTGCAGAGAGGAAGTGAAGGCCAGAGCCCTCTTGAATTTGCTTTAGTAGTCGAAGGTACCGCCATGTTGTGTCCACAAATTCATTTAGAAGCTGCGTCTTCTGTTCAGGATACCTTTCCAGGCATCCCCAATTCTGAAATTTATTCTAAAATGTCCTTTATTGCAACAAAGTTGTCGTCTGCAGTAAGCAATGTCCCCATGAGTATCAAACGTTGGAAGCTGAGCCTGAGTGACAAATTAAGTACCACCTTTTGAGGCCGTAGAGAATGGGCTTAGCCCCAAAAATCTATCAAAGGAGTCTTCTTTTTACTTAAATTGACAGTGTACAAAGGTAGACGCCCTTTTTGAGCCTCTCCGAATTGTTCCATGCGCCATTTATACCATCAATCTAACAGCTTTCCTCGGAGTTAATGATGCAAGGCCTCTCAGACTCATTCCCTTCAGTTGCGTTGCTGTCTATTTCCTTCTGTCATCTTCAGAAACAACACTTTATCGTACAACATTTACTGTACCCCCTTCTAACAAATTTCTTAATATTGTTGCTGTGAGGTACAAGCAGATAGACAGGTGGATGTACCTGATTACTCTGGATCGCAGGTAAGTAGACAACTTTGAGAAGGTGCTGAGTTGTCTCAATGAAGTCGCCTTTCTGAGCATTGTGAAAGTGGAAAAACACCTCCTCCACGATATTTGCTGGAGTGATATCTCGCTCCGATGCTCGTAGAAAGAAGAAAGCGCTGCCACTGAGCTGCTAAGACCAAATATAGGAGAAGTTGTGAGTAGAAGGCTGAGATTCCCGCTTACCTCGGTAGTGTCGTTTGCAACGAAGAATTGCGGTTCGGATGTCTTTTCGCCTGAAGTATGCTGAACATGGGAAAACAAGTTTCACCTTTTTATTCTTATCCCCTTCGTAGTCTATTCAAAGGAATGTTGGATAAAATATGGAATTGTGAACTCCAACTTGACAAAACTTGATATCCTTTTAGGCAGTAGTTTTTATCAGCCATGCATCTTATGTAGTTAGGCATCTAACGTTACTGTTTATGACGAAAATGTGCCAACATTTGTACCACTTGAGTGAAATCCGGTGTATTTTAAAGTAAATTTTGCAAGAAAAAGTCCTTTTTGATAGAACAGTAAACAAAAATTCACCTCTTGGAAGTAGATACTGAGACAGAGAATTTTTCCATCTAGCTTGAAGAACTTGTCAAACGACGACCACTAAAACGCAAGTAAATGATAAAAAGGCTCGAGATTCAAATATTTCAGATATGCTTCATTTTTTCCCTTTTTTGTTGGCAAACCTTATCGTCAACAAGAAGATCATTCTCAATTTTGCTCATTGGTTGTTGGGACGTCTTGGATATCTAAAAAAGAGCGCATAATGTGAAGTTTGGAGCACTTTTTAAAAGTTTAGCGTGGTATAAGCAAATTCTTTTTTTTTTTGGGTTAATTGTTGTTGTAAGGAATTTGTAAGTGGGCGCTGATTTGTGGAGGATAGTACTATTAATTTCTCTTTAGTCAAATGGATCACACCAATTGATTAACCCCAAGCCTATTTTTAAAATATTCACTTACACAGGAACAGACTTATTTACTTATGATTAAACCTGGTCTGCAAGTTGGCATGTATTAAAAGGCAAGGGATAGTTTGTATACTACACCTAAGGGGAAGATTACCAGATCAAAAATATAGCGATGTCGCTCATCGACCTAAAAGGGAAATAAGAGAAAAGGTTACTCTTCAAGATATCTGACTAAGCACTAGCAACTCATGCCACAACAACTTTTAGTCAAATAAGGCATCAGGCACTTAGTAAGCAGAGGAGGCAATCAAATCTGACCGTTTGAAGGTTGGTTTCACGCAGTATCAGCAGTTGACGCTGCTTCTCCCGCACAATCTCCGAGCTGGTGAGTGAACGCTTCCAAATCTTTGTAATAAATTCCCAAGAAGAAAGGTTAAAATTTTTACAAAAAGGATTTAACAGGTGACCGGAAGTTGCTGCCTTGAAAATATGTCACCTAAACTCATCTGTCTTATCTACCTTCAAATTTTGAACGTCACATTAAAAAGAGCGAGTTAACTGAGAGTTGTGCCTGTGTGCATCATTAAAAATCTCTTTAACACACACTTACCCCATCGCGGCTCACCACTGAATTATCTGTAAAAGTAAATTAATGGCCCTTTATAAACAAGATTAAAATTAGTGACGAGGCCTTTTAAAAACGAATATCTGTCTCGAAATAATGGACGCTAACCAGTGAATTCGAATTGTGCATGGTGAAGGGGGCAGGGGGTTTGGTAGCACCGTGTCGACTCCTCCGTTAAGCCGCTATGCTCACCCATTTCAAATCTACTACCATATCGGTTCTGATATTTATCTCAACAACCCGAAGCTACAACTTTTGATCACAGAATTAGCAAAAAATTACGCGTTCTTCAGATCGTTCTCGAAGCGTGGTGGCAGGTCAGACGACCGTCCTTTGTTGACCGTCAAGTTTGCATGAGTCATCTGCTATTTGACCAAATAATTAATTACATTCACAAAAAAATCGGGTAAAATTAAGTCTGTTTTTATATATTTAACAATTTTCCAACCTAGTTACGAGATAATCGACAAGTTTTTTGGTCGACAGTCCAAATTTAACTGCAACCCTTAGGTGCCTGTAAGACGAACGCGAATCACTGATTGAACGGTGTCACGTCAAATGGCACAACTTCTTATGCTTTAGGTTAGAGAAATAAAAATTCCTTATTTAACAACAAATTGCTTATTCTAGAAGAATGACTCACGATTTAGTGGCTTGGCTGTTTTAGAGGCCATTGGCTATAAAAGAGCAAATGAACGACCTCTACTTCACTATACCTAATCTGTCAAAATACAAAAAGCATTTGATTGTTTAGTGTTATTGAAAAAATAACCTAAAATACTCAATTAAATTTAAAATCAAAAACACTTAAGTTACAAAGTTTTGATAGGAAATAAGGCCTTTTTACCCCTCATCCGTTGAATAAGAGAGGCTTAGAGCTTATACTGTGCTCTTGGTAATTAGAAATTCACACGAGGGACTGTTTTCTGTTGCTGCGTCGTTGCCATGACTGAGATTGACTACACCAATGAAACATGGGCCCAGTCAACGCCACATTCTCTCCTTGGCTGTGGCCACAGGGCTTAGGGGTGTCCAGTTAAGTTCCAGCCAGAAGAATCTGAAAGTTGTCCCTAATTTGCAGGCCATTTAAAAGGGGAATTTAGTAAGCTGCCCAAACACTTTGATCATCCTTTAGAAATTTTTGTAAAAGGGGAAGAGCCTGAAATCCCACATAATACGTACATAAGGTTCTGGTGAGCAAAAGGGTCACTGTGATGCAGCTTGTAGGGACATGTAGGGACATGTTTATATGTGTAGGCATGTCCATGTATCGATGTAAGCCTGTTTATCTGTGCGCTACATCATTAACCACATTAATAAACACTGGCCGAGCCTGGTATTTGTGATTGGTGTCTGCCTGCCTTACAAACCGAAGCTGTGGCTAGAGCGGCCTCTTGTAAAGCGTGCTGTATAGTCTCTGAAGAAGGTGTGGTACAGGGTAGCAGAACGTGCCAGCCAGAAATATTTCCCTTTTATTCAATAGAAATGATTATCTTACGGTGGATGTATTACATTTGGAGAACTTTCCCTCCGCTCTTGGTGGCAGCGCGGCATTGCTATTTGCTGCTGATCAAATAACTTGATAAACTAATGTTTGTATTTTTTAAGGTGGGTGAGGCCACAAATCAAGTCCAGCAATATCATTGGAGAAGGGGAATTCATAATTGGATGTATGTAAATGGTTCAAAATCCGCATTCCGCGTAGAAAAAGAGGATAATGACCTTCAAAGACTACCAATTTGTTCCTCCTCCCTTTCACACAGTTTATGAAAAAAAAGGCAAGTCGATCATAGCACATGGCCTCTGTATTTCAGCATTCAGAAGGCGAAAGATCACGATCTACTAAACAACCCTTCACACCTTCACGCTCTCCTCACAAGAATGTCCTCACTTTGCGCCCATGTGGTGATTCAAGGACAGAAGTAGCCACTGTTTTTGGCCTTCTTGTTAATACCAAATGCAAATGAAATTTATCTTTTCCATGCAACATGATTAAGTTCGAAGGTCAAAAATAACTTCGTCAGAGACGGATATTCTCGTTTTTAAAGTCCACACAAAATCTAATATTGAATAATATCACAAAACTTGCGGCTTAGCAGACCGCATTCAAACCAGCCTAGGAGGGTAATTACGGCCACCTTCACACACTTACTTCTCCATTTCCTCTGATAGTGAATAAAGGAAGATAGAAATGGAGGTGGTAAGAGTTAGGTGAATTTCCTTCTCGGTTTCAAGAGACTAAGTGCTAAGTAAAAGTGGGTCTGACATTCTGGTGTCGCATTGAGAAGGCTTACCACCTGCAACGGTGACTACTGCAACAAATGCAATTACGTTAAGAAGCTTTCTTCAGTTATTTAAACTTTATCATAGAAACGCACGACTTCAAATGCTCGCTTCGGGGTGCTTCTAGGACTACTGCCTTCTGACATTTTTGGGTATTTATGACTGATTTGTAGATTAGACTAAGCCAACTTAGAATTATGCATCCTGCTTTAACTCGCAACTCCAATGTGATAGGGGCCCCCCAGCTAGTTCTGTTGCCACCATTATGCCTGCGAGGTGGGGAATGGCAGGGACCGGGGAACTAGCATCAACAACCAAGCTAGATGTCATCCAACTGAAAAAGTTACTTTGAGACAGGTTATGATTTGGTGTCTCACTTTAACGCCATCTAGCTTTACATCCGGATTGTTCTCAACCTGCAAAGATGGGAGGATATCGTACCACTAGCTTTTGTTTATAATCCGGGCAGTTATCCAATGGATGACTTAAGCACATTCAACACGCACCAAACGCCATCACTTGACCATTGCAGTACAACTCAAAACCGACACTTGCCAAGTCAATGTCTTTAACGCCACTTTGTTGGGTGTCTGCATAGATTCAGCCATCTATTAAAGAAGCCTTCCATCTGAGACACTTTCCACACAGCAGCCAAATGCTCCTCTAAGCATGACCATCATTTGGAGCCAGAGAGTCTAAACAGCTCCACCTCACCGCCGTAAAGGACAATTCACAGTCAGTCGTGTGCTATATCGCCTTGGAAAGTATTTCGAACCATCCCTACTGCTGTTAGTTCAGAGAACATAGGTCGGAAAACGAGGGGTATGGAGGAAAGTCGAACTGGGCATACATGCAAAGTAGGAACTTTATAATCATCGACCGGAGAGTGCATCCTATCCTCGCACCGAGCATACTTTAGCCCCAAACAAATTTGACAGGATCACTGGAGGGTACCCTAAGATGATAATAGACTGAGCAAGGCGTCTGGGTAATCCTGAGCCCCAGAATGACAGTCGGCTTTGCATATCAAGCAGTCCAAAACGAATCAACCAAAAATAGCCAATATAAAGTCGGCTTCTTGTTAAAATTAAAATGCATATATATAACAAAATAAATCAGAGGGAGAAATAGAAAGTGAGTTGGAGATGAGACGCCATACTATCACCGCCGCCAGCCCAATGAATGCAACAGAGCGTGCCAAAACGATTCTCGTACCGGCATCGGTTGTTCCGCATTGGAAATCTCCTTGGCACGATTGATAAGACGGGAGTCGAGGATGATGGACAGGTGATTAACACCTGGTATAACCAGGGTCTCAACTTGGTCGACGCCTCCGCTGTTATTCGCCCAACTCTTACAAACACTGAGCGAGCGCACGTTCACCGTCCCGTCACCGTCCGTCTCGTACACCACGTCTGGCTGAGCATCGGGGAAGGTGGAGGAGTAGATCAGGGTGCCAGGTGTCCGCACGGCCGAGCTGTAGATGCAATACACCTCGTTCACTCCTGTGGGAGGCGTCAAAGCGTCCACGGTCAGCTTGGCGTCCTCGTACATCTGGAAACCTAAAGGGGGAGACAGTCGTACTAGCTGCAGTCGAGAGTACCTAAATTAACGATATCACAGCGTATCGTCCAACGAAAATAAAGACGTATGTTTAAACTAGATTATCAACTAATTTTCCAAAATCGAATTAATTAAGAGCTGACTTTTTTAAGTTGTCAATCCTAGGAAAGTAAAATAACTGCCTTCAAAACGGAGGTAGGCGTTCCAAGCCTACATAATGGAAGATAGAGTCGCCTATCCTTCCATCAATGCTTCTACCCAAACAGTCCTGCTCCATTAATAGAGCATCCAAAATCAATGCGGGGTTTAACAAATTTGTTGGCTCTGAATGAACGTAGGATATAGGAACCCATCCGCAATTGAGACTCAAGTTCATAAGAGAGATGATAGACCCGTTCTTTATTCACCCATTTGGCCTAAGGACACTGTAAAAACGATTTATTTTACGGAGGGAGGGATTCAAAACAACCACAGTCTATTAAGCATTTGAAGGTAAAAAATCGCGAAAGCGAGACCTGCAGATTGAATGAATAGTTGGTTAGATTCCAGCACTAAAGACTCCTTGTGCTTTAGTGCCTTCGAAGCGAACAAATTCAGATCAATCGTAGTTAGAAAAGAAGAGGATTTCAAAGAATTAGTATTCCAAAACTGTTGGATTCTGTCTTCTGAAACGAAGACAAATGAAGCATGTTACCTTCGGGGAAGCCAATATCAAAGAAGAACTCCTTGTAGTCGTGGACAGTGTAGTTTTTGGCCGGTGTGTAAATAACCACTTCATCTTTAGACCAGAGTCGCGGATCGGGCAGAAGAAAAGCCAGCGAGGACATCGAGCGCTGCACATCACGGTACCACAGCGGATTGTCGAAATAGATCCCGAAGTTGTCACCTTTGATAAAAGGGGAATAACAGTGTACTTATCCCCTGATAAGTAGGAGTCGTTTCATACCACACTGAGTGCAGGGCCTCAGAGGTAGCTCCGGCACTTGACAAACTGTCAAAATAACCCCGTATTTTTCTGACGTTTAGACATGTGAAAAATGCTAAAGAAGTAAACCAGGCTCTTCTCCAAATCAACGTTCCACTTGCACATAAAAAAGTTCGGCAGATTGGTACAGACACGGGCGATCATAGTTCGGGATGACCTCAATAAGGCTTTTGACCGCTTTTAAAGATTAGATCTCGTTCAATGAATAGGTGTCGTGGTAAAAATGATCGATGCTGAATGGACACACCGTTTGTCGAGGTTCGGTGCATTCAATGTAGCATATTTTTAAGCATATCCGCTCGTCGCATTTTTAAGGTTAAAATGGCTAGTCTGAATAGCCTGATACATTTTGGCAGCTCCTTGGGCACTTCAAGGTCTTCGAAAACCCAATTCTATTGCACCTACTATGCCTGAATTGGGCAGCTCAATTTACCGATCAAAACATCTTTTCGAACTGATTTCGCGTCGCTCGTCGATATTTCCAGTAGTCTGTGATGTTGCAATGGTCCATTCAACAACTTAACCCACGGTCGAAAGAAAAGGGATTTCAACTTGTTCATTGCATCGCGAATTAATCGCAGGTAGTGGCCTTCAATTAAAACTGAATTTTAAACAGTTCCAGACCAATCATCGAAGGTAAGCGGACGTTCCACGCTCAATTAATCGGCATTTGAAAGGCTAGCTTAACTCGCCATCGACAAACGTTTCAAGGACAAGTCATCATCGCTGATGTAAATGCGCAAAATCTCAGGTCCAGTGAGTCCAAGTGACATGGTGAAATGAAGGTAAAAAAAGGGTTCATTGGATTGCCTTTGTTAACGCAGCCAGTTGCGTAAAGACACAAGTCTAAACGATCAACATGGAGCATCAGTGGCACTGGGTTTAACACGAATCTTTCAATGAAACAGGATACCTCGTGCTTGGTCAATCAGGATTTCACGGGCTAATCGAGTAACCCGTTTCGATGGGTGATGGAAAAGTACATCAAACAACCACGAGTTAAACGAGAAGAGATTGTCCTTGGTGCAATCGGTCGCTCAGAATCACGGGTTAGAGCAAAATTATCAATCCACTGAAATGGGACATCTCACAATCAATCAGTTGAGATTTCACAGGTCAATCAAGTCGAGAAACCCAAAATTTTCGAAGCATGAACAGGCATGTCACAGTCGAGGTTTATACAAATAGTTGCGCAATTGGCGGTGACGCAATAAACCGCTCGAGTTCAATGGCTCTAAGATAGGTGGATTAAAAAAAGTTCACCTACATCAGCACTATGTTTGTGCATGCGCATCCACAACAGGGTCACGACGATCAGGCGGTTTCAATCAAATTGCGAAGTAATGCATATCAGCATTAGCTAAGCGGTGGATTCCGTACAATCAAACGTAATAAATTACGGAATTTGAAGAAAGGGCAAAACATTCTCACTGAATACATTGTCACGCATTTTCCAACAATCCAAGCACGAAACATGCAATCAACTAGCAAGCCTGGAAACTGATAATGCTTTACTTCCCATGTATAATACAGTGATCATATGGGATGACTTCATCAAGAGGAAACCTGATCAGCATCTGCCGACAGTCCGTGAGTCATTTCAGCGGTGACCATTTAGCGCTTTTATTATTCCGATTAGCCAAATTTACCTAGCCTTAACGTACCTATATGACACTTCCAGATTTCTCGGGACCTATTCTTAAAAAACTTGATCGTTTAAGCTTAGTGCTTTGTCTCCACCTGTCTCAACCGTATGTCCAAACAGTATCAACAATGATACCTATGTAAAGTGTGCCTGAAGTAAGTTCAACAAACCTGGATTCCATCTAGGTGAAACGATTAAAGATCGCCTTTACAAGTGCTTTAAATTATGGGACAAAAAGGGTCTCGTACTGCAGATCAGACCACATCGACAGTTAAAATAAACAAAAACGAAAGAATGATTGACGGACTCATCACTGGACAATGAATACGATTGTTGTCCAGAAGCGCTGTAGACACTGCTACACGGAAACATTAACGGAGACTATTAATAGCGTCAGAGCAGTTATTAAGGCCCAAAACTATTAGTAACTCGCGGATGAAAGCACACATCAGCACCCATACCAATATTCCTGCTACCAATCAAATCAATCCTGATTCAGTATCTAACACAGAGGGTGAATCAATGAACCCTTTAGAAGAAACGAATCCCAACGACACTGTTTCATATTTAATAAGGGACGAAATAATCTATTCTTGATTCAACTTCAAGTGCAGATTAAAAACAGACGGAACTGCTAAAAATACGAAAGTAATCCAATGCCACAAATGTAGCTTAACTTGATAAGAAGCAATATACGACTGATGATAATGAACTGATTGTTCAGTGCTTTGGCTATTTGCAAATCGATCTGCAATGCAAACTACTAAAAGGATCGAAGAAACACAGATGGATAATAAAATAGCGAATGGGAGTAGGCACTAGCAACCAGCTTTGGCTTTGATCACCAAATTCAAGGGAAGCGAATGGAACATCGCCAGCTTGGGTGGCCGACGTAGATAAACAAACTTACCGCTAGCTTCCATTTTTAATGCCTTGATGGAGCCTCCCAGAGGTGCACTGACGGCTACAAATGCCTTGATATACTGGCGCTTCCAGGCGTCACTTTGATTCTTCAGAAAGCTCAATGCGTACAGCGCGCCCATGCTGTGACCCAGCAAAACAACACGCTGATCCTTCCCATTGTGAAAAGTTTCTTCCACCAGATGCTTTAACTTCGGGTTGAAATCCTCATTCTCGTCTATTGTGGTGGACAAAAAACCCTTACATTCGAGCATTTTGACTAAGGGAATGAAGCCAAAAACGTACTGGGCGCCCTGCGGAAATCGAAGGGAGCTCCACGGATAGTGGAGTTGGGGACGTAGTAGGGATTTTGTGTGAAGGCTGTGGTCAGGTCTTGGAAGTACTTAGTCACTGAGTGTGGGCGAGAATCCAGGTTGTCTACTGACCAGGTCTCGCCCCAACCTGGAAAAGTGATTATTGCCTTGTCATTCTCCTCTGTTCGCCTTGTCTCATTGTTATACTTGAGCCTGCGAATCAACAACAATAGAGCGTATGCCCAACCACCAATATTAAAGTCAGTAAGGTAGCAATGTACTTGAAGTAATCGCTGAAAGTTCTAGGTGAAATGAGGTACCGCAAATCAATCCAAATTTGAAATGGATCGGAAATGTGATCCCTAAATTGGGCATAAGCCTGCGAACCGCCGTCACCGGGTATCATGATCAGAGGGTGTGGGAGTTTGGACTTGATCCACCACTTCAAGGCATTCATAGGAATTAGATAGGAGTAAGAGGTGCCAAACACCACGGTCAGTAGGAGCAAAAACCTTGGAAATAACATGGTTAGGCCGACGAAGAAACCGCCTGGGGCTAAACTGAAAAACCAAATAAGTTAGATTAGTCCATTTGCTCCATGGCTAAAGGTTGTAAAATAAACAGTGATGATCTCAAGACTCAGCTGCATATAAACTCTACGTAAACATCCAAAACTATGTAGTCTTGAAAAAACCACAACCCCAAATTCTGAACCTCCAACCGCAACTTGAGCGGACGAATACCCAAAACGCCCGCTTAAAGCAATGTGGCCTTGTGGTGTCATAGTTGATAAATGTAGTGAAATCTAAAATGCTTTTGATCAAAATCCAAGGTGCCTAAATAATGAATAATCTCAAAAATGCATTTGCTTTCATTAATGATAAGTACGAAGGAATAAACCCAGGGTAGAAGTACTCGAAAATTGTATTTGTAAACCTCTGAACATCGCAGAATTTGGAGGGTCCTTTCACCTGTCTTAACAAGGGCTCTCTTGTAGCTATGTCTAATAATGCTTCCCGAACATAAACTCACTGAAATAAGGAGGTCTAAGTGCCTCAAACCCCAAAACAATTACCTAGTTAAGCATTTTAGCGTTAACTACAAGTCCCAAAGTTAACGCTCTCCTATAATTGACCTTACGATTAGTGCAACGTTCTCGAAAGGCAGATGCACCGACATGAGTGAACACAGAATCCGGCACTTGCCCCCCTGGACGAGACTAAGTCATCCGACCCCCCCCCCCCCATCCCATTTACTGTAAATACGTGAGCAATTTAACCATTTCCAGCGAAAGCAAGACACATTCGTACAAAAGGCTTTATTACTACTAGCACCGCGCAGATTACACAATAACAAATTGGCACACACATACAACACCCACCGTATTACAATAGCTTCGGCAACGTTCTCAAGTGCTCCAGATCAAGAACGGGTGCGTCGAAGTTCAGATCCTCCTCTGTCTCTTCCGCAGCCTGCATGTCGCCAGCTATGCTGGAAAAGACACGCGAACATGGCAAGTAGCTTTCCTGGGTTCCCGTTGCTTCACCCACCTCCATCACTGTTAGTCGGGGAATGTTGGAGACCTTGGTGTGGTAGGTTCTCCCTCGCCAGCCACATCTTTCCTCCGACACCTGCGTGACCTCACATCCCCCCGTGGACAGCAATCCGTGCTCCTTTAGGTAGCGCTGCGTCGCCAGACTAAAGTCTGTGCCATAACAACTGACCTCTGGTGATATTACTGTAGTGGACGCAGTCGAGGGTGCTAGCTGTGCAATTATGGAAGGTGAGAGGTACTTACGAGCCAGACCCATCAGAATGGCACTCTCGTCGGTGGATTTGAGATTATGGCGGCTGTAACTTCGTAGTGGTGGTGGTGGGGAGGAAGGCGACAGATTTGAGGCAAAGGTGAAACTGGTGTGGGTGATGGGGAAACTAGCCTCGGATTGGCCTGGTCGGGGAGTGCTCTTTTCTCTAAAAGGAAGTTGGTAGCGGTCAAGGCAACTGTCAGTAGCAGGTCAAATCGGTAGAATAGCCTACCTCCTCCTGACGGGTTTGACTCTTGCGGTTAAGAAGTTGAGTACAAGTTACATCAGATTAACCAAATGCACATTGGAAAGGAGGCGGGTAGTGGCAATCTATGTGCAGGTATTTGACTCCAACAAACCAGAATTGTAAATGTAGAGAGTAATAGATACTACTAACATCAATTTGATTCAAGTAGTAATAAATTTACAACCTAAATCTTGGTGAAATTAATTTAAATGGCTGATCTAGACAGTCGCAATAAACCAAATTTATTGCCCATTTCAGAAAAAACAAAACTCAATCCACAGTTAAACACAAGACACGGAACGTCTTGGACTAACTTACGGCCCGCCACGAGACGGAACATCAGTTTTGAGGGGCAGAAGGGAATGCGAGAAGTCAAATCGCGCAGCTACTTCCTCTTCGCAGCGGCGCCGATGCTGTGCCTCGTCTGAATCGGCGTCGGCGTCCGTTAGGCTCGGCCACTCTGTAACCTGGGCAGCGGAATTGGAGGGCAAACGCGGAGGCGTCGCTGCCGCATCCACCGCAACCAGGGACAACTCCTTCGGCACCGATACGGTCTTGCGCATATGTGGCGCCGACCGAAGCACTTGTTGAATGCCAGCCTTTAAGCATTGACCAACAAAGTGACACCGCAAAAAAGATGTTAACAAGCTCACTACGCTCCGCTCTGATTTCCTTGCATGGTGTAATTATAGAAAAAAGCAAACTGGACGACACTTGGTACCACGATAAAAATGGAGAAAGGCGCTACAAATATAAAACGAAGGAAACAAAACATTATGGCTGTGCGTCATGGCTTACAGACACACAGGTGTCTACAGATTTCCCAGAACGGGCATCTGCAAATTACGACACATTCTTAGACACGTCAGTGGATTATTGCGCCTGCTCTTGTTTCGAAACATCTTCCAATTCCTAAGTAGGTACAGACACAAGGTCCCATTTTTCTTGCGGGTGATTCATCTACGCAGGTCACAACGTTAATAAAACTGACGAGAACTTGATGTCAGGGAAGTTTGAGGGGAAATGTGAAGGTTGTTCCAATTTTAATTCGTTTTGATGGATGTATTTAAGCTTTCACTTTTCCGCCCCTTCCTCACCCCGGGCTCCAGATTGTCATTATGACATTTGGTACCAAAACCGGTGTTTGATTAAAGTGAGTATTTGATCAAAACAAGCTTATATGCTATAAACAACTAAAAACACTATTTGGACACTTCACAAAGGTCCAAAGACATGTGTGCGGGTCCCAAGAAATACCAATATTTATTTATTAACTAATGGCATAGTATTGAGAGACAATTGCACCGTTTACTTCGAATTTCGCGCGAAATATGGAACAAAATTGAATTTTTCGGGTGGGTGTGGAACCAACAGTTAACATTCAGATGTTTATTTGAACCCTCTGATTGCAAGCCGGAATATGTGGCAATGGAGCATTAAAAAACAGAGCATTTTGCTTACCAGGAGTCGACTATAGCTAGGGTCACCGATGTTGTTTTCCTCACAGGGGTTCTGAAAAGTATTCCCAAAACAAGAAGTGGTAAAACTTCAAAAGAGTATTCACCAAGGTAACCATGATAGAGCATCCACCGTGATTTCAATTTTAACAATGATTCGGAATGACTTTGGTGACTGGTTGCCCTAGCAATAAGGTGTTGTAATAGTAATAGTTGGTTCAACTTTAATAAATTACGCAGGATGTCCAGCCTTTGTAGTCTGCACCTCCGCTTCGTCCGTGCCTATAGCCAACCTAACGACTCAGCAAAGTGTAGCGAGCAAAGTACCGAAATATAAATAGGAACCAAGCATACCGTTATATTTCGGTGCGCTCACTCTAGTCAGATACTGTTAGCAAGGTGATACCTGGTGTGAAGGGAGTTCCAACGGAGTCAATGGTTTATCAGGGAAGCCAGCGTCAAGAGAGAGAACAGACTCCAGAGACTGTTGAAGGATTGGAGGCTGAGGTAAAGGTGGCTGAGGAGATGATAGGAATTCAAGTGATTGGTTAACCTCACCCAGAAACGGGCAGACGCCTTGAGGTTGAGGCAGACATTTCTGGACTGTGAAATTGTCATGAAAAAAATATGCAGCTAAAACTGCCTGAAATTCGGTTTCCGAACGTGGTGGTATTCGTAAAATGTTGAATAAGCTATTTTAAAAGAACGAAATCCGAATAACTTTATGTTTACCATTTTACCATACCTTTGAGTTGGAAATAAACATGGAGGGTAGAAGTGACGGTACTATTAAGTAATTGTTTTATGATCTTAAGTAAGATAGAACTAAAAGTTAACATATTAGAAAGGGCAAATTCCTATCAAAAACAAGTGTTGCCCCCGAATTCCTCACATGGGCAGTAATAATCCCTGCACACAAGCAGGGCTCTAAGTAGAATTCCCATGATGAGGATTAACATTCAAAAAGTAAATGTCTAGAAGTAAATATGGCGTACGGGAGGTCCAAACAAAGCATATGTGCCATTTACTTGAAATTTCTTCATAATTAAGAAGATACCACTTTAAGTCATTAAAACGAGTCATAAAATCTTGGATAGAAAACATATTTTGAAAATTTGACATCAATATAGTTTGCCAACAGTGTTGTCTGCATTTAAAAGACACAACTTCGGTAGAAATTCACTTCCTTCATGGTAGAACAAATCGGAGCACATAAAAGAGTTTTGCATCGACGAAAATGAGAGGAATAGTTATTTGCCAGTTCACAGTGAGCTACAGTAATGAACGCCTCATTGAGACAATACTGACCCTGGTAGGACAGAGAATATTAAGTAAAATCCCAGACCGGGTTTGCTTGACATATCAAAAAACGAAACAAAAAAGCAAGGTAGCAAGATATTTCCACTCTTGGAAGCCTGAAAATACCAGACCGTGAGGCAGAGTTCATAAAAAACGAAAGGTCATTGAATAAGTGACCACTCGTCATCAAAAACGGATCACATTAGGAATGTATCCTGAGCCATGCACAGAGAGTTCACTTACCCGGCTCACACTGAACCCCCACCGATTCCACCGTTTGGCAAGGCGTCGGCGGCAACGGTGTAGGTGCCGACGACAGCGATGTCGCAGGCATTAGTCCAATGTCAGCAGCTGTAGACCAGACTGCACTGGTGTTGACCGCCACGCTGCACACTTCGCGCGAGATCGATGTGTTGGTTCCAACTGTTGTCTTCTCCATCATTGTTGTTGTCGGTGTCTGGCGGGGCTGTTGTCCCGCAAGAAGACGCTCTATCAGCGCCTCCAATCTCGATATTTCCTCGTGAGCTACCGGTGATTCATTGTTGTTGTTTGACTGGAGATGGCAACAAGCGGGAGACACTTGTGGATGATGGCACTGAGGGAGTGGTGGTGGTGGTGGTGGTAGTGGGGAGAAAGGGGGAGGAGGTGAGGGGAAGTAGCGGTAGGGGCTGTAGGCGGGTGTAGAGACAGCGACGACACCCTCTTCCAGCAGCATGGAGGCTTCAGGCACCTCGAAACCGATCATCGCAGATGGGTGGGGAAACGGAGGAGTGATGTCCTTGGAGCTTGGTAGGTGGAATTTGACGGAGCGCTTGCTGCAAGAACCATCAGTGCGGATCATTAGATGATTGTGCAAAAAACTAGCAGCAGTGTTGTCCTGTGGATATTAAACTACTGATTCCCAAAATGACACACGTCCTTGTGTTGTTACAGTTTTGCAGTGGATTATCGAAGTTCAATGAGACCTAACAAAATGGAACAAATTGATGCCAAAAAAGTTGAATCAATTGCAGCTCATTAACATTGAGGTGAAATTGAGCACTTTATTTCTCAGGTCTAGTATATGATAGGGAAAAAATTTGAATGACGCAAATGAGTGGGTAAATTGCAGAAACAAACCAATTTCACGTGGTGGTTTTTGTCCCGATAAAAAGCACTCTATTTCTACTGTGTTACTTCCTAATCCATTTCTGGTAACACTGCCCTCGATTATAGTCTAGCTGCAATCCATTAAAATAAATAAACATTTACGATTCGTGTTTAGCTAGGGTTAACTAAAGCCCTATATGGAGGGAGAATGGAGACTCCCTCTAACCCCTTTGGGATAAATCTGATGATTCTTCAAGGGAAAGCAACGCTGACGATGATGGGTTTGAAGATGTAAAAAGGTAAAATTGCTACCGACTAGTTTTTCAATCATCATGTGCTCATTATTCTCCAAAACGACGCCTACCGAGGAACGTTCAGAGTCACACTCACCTCAGATGGAGGTGACAGTAAAAGTTAAGAGTGTATTATATCTGAAGGAGGAACAGCGTTTCGTCACACATTGGATATCCTGGCCAAAAGACGTAGCGGAGGCACAAATTTGTCTTCAACTGCAAGTGCGTTCGGTGAAAAGACAAAACTTCCTCTTTTAGAGTCACAAGTTAAATAGACTGAAAAGTTAACTGTTGACTCCTATAGCGTTAGTAGATCACTCTGGGCGTCTAATCGATTATTGTCACAATCATGAGGAGTAAGGAGTTGTGGAATTTTCTCTCGAAAAAAACGAAACGGGGTGCAAAATGGTTGAGTGAAAGTGTTGGATCTATGTGACTCTGACTTATGACAGTTTTAAGTTGCATAAATGAATTTCTAATCAATGGGGAGGGGAATGTGAGTTGTAAAAATTGCTTAGAAGTTATGAGGGGAGTGATAATGTTCTGGAGATTATAAAAAGGAGATCACCATTACAACCTGGAGAGTGGCAGGCTGTCAGGGATAAAGTACTGCCAAGACTTTTTAAACATGACGATCCAACTTTAACTTTATAATTGAACGAATCCACAATTTTCTAGGCCAAAATGACTGAATTTTCAAAAATCTCGAACCGTCGAATCGAAGGAAGCTAGCTTTCAAACTCATCTAGCGAAGAAACTTACACAGATCTGCCATTCGGCTTCGACTGAATGGAAGATGACTTCTTACTAGCTGAAGCGGTCTCCAGTGCAGCAGAGGGTCCCCGTATCACCTGACAGTCGAGGTTAGTAGCCAGGCGAGCCACAGCTTCAAGCATTTTGCCGTAGTCCGCGAGAGCCGTCTCATTAGGGAGGCGGACGGGACTGAGATTGGTCAGGTGGACGACTACACGCTGTGAGGAGACTCGTGAGGAGCGCGATTTGACGTCTTCGAAACCAGTAAACATGTGGAAATTAAGCTTTAAGAAAGAGGAAAGAAGGAGGCAAAGTTACTCAGTGGTGAGAGAGGAAAAGTTAATTCATTTTAGACAGCGTACAGGAAGAACAAGAATTTTGGCTTTTCCAAAAAACAGCTGATTCGGTTTAGAATACAATACTGGCTCCCGTGGCTTTTGAGTAAATTTCTTGTCATCAATGGACCTCCACATTTCCCACTATACCTTCCCGAAGCTTGTACATATGAAATCCTAGCTAAAAGCATAGACCTCTCTGTTAGGTGCATAAACAATGGTTTGCTGGTCATGCTTTCTGTGGATACATCTTATTTAAAACTTAACAAAACCTTATTAAATAGCTCAACTCCAATAAATATCCAAGAAGATGCCTTTAAACGAGTCTGTACTCTCAAAGTTAGATGTAACTTTCGTTTTCAGTATCTGAATAAAACAATACAAAACTTTAGTAAATGATTAAGAAGTCATTAAAAGCACTTATTCGGGTAACTTTGCTAGTAGGAGGGATTTCACTTATAGACACATATCTATAAGCATTATTTTTTTATATTTTATTTAGCCATTTCAACTAAAATGCATTCATAGCTCGACTTATGAAGTGCTCTACGTAGTACTATTATTAATGTGAATATAGTTTCCAAACAGGATTATCTGCTCATGATAAATCCACTAAGAATAATAGTGTGAGCAAGCAAAAAATTCTCAGGACCGAAGTTGTAATAGTGGTGCTAACTACGTGGGTTCATCCATTACAAGTAGGCCAAGCATGTCTACGTGTAGCGTTATCTGATAGCAACAAATGGCGAAGAAAACGTAGAACTATCAGATTTGGGTCTTGATGTCATCTATTCTGATTATTTCTTCTAGAATTTCATAAAACAAAAAACCGATTTTTTCTACAAAAAAAACTGCCCTAGGTGCATCTACGAGACTAATAGTAAAAAGAAGACGGATTTGGGAAATCGGTAAAGTAAATACAACCTACGTACAGTGACAAGTTCAGCAGAACGATGTACCAATTACACCTCTACTGAAATCCCTGTACTAATGTATTGAGCAAAGAAACGAACTGGCATTGTTGAAGCTAGGGACGTTCCATAAAAAAACCATACACATTTTGATGGCGACAAAAACGCTAACAGTAGAATGCGCAAACACTACGAAAGCCAAAATTAGAAGTTCATTCGATTATGGAGCAGAGAACAATTACTTAAAATTCGCACACCCTGCTGGCATAGGTGTAATCCGCAGACCCGGAGGTAGGTGGTGTAAATTCAATACAGGGAGAGTGAAGAGTCTTCACACTGTTGTCACTGCGGATGGAGTAGAAAGAGATGCTGTTGCTCACATTACTGTGCACAGCCAACACAGGCGATGTACAGAAAGCACGCTGACCCCTAGGTGCAAATGCATAACGCAGCATAGACAACCAAGTGTGGAAGGTGGTGGGTGTAGTGGCAGTGCTTTGCTCCTCGTCCAGTACTCCTGTACACCACCTAGAGAGAGGGCAAAAATTCATCAAATTTTAATCATCCAGCGCGATTTTAAGTGTCTCACACGTCAAAATCACGTACACGCCAGCAGGTGGAGTGGTTTGAATAACTCTTTCACCGTCCAAATACGGTACAAGACAACCTGAGGGATCCAGTAAAAAGAATCTGAAGAACATTCGAGTAAGTATTTATCTCTTCCCAACCTTCGACAATAGAGCTTCCCTAAGAGAGACTCACCCGAAGCGAAAATCCTGATGTGTACCACCAAAATCAAGACGCTGAAAGTGCTGAAACTTTGACCTTGCGGCATCTGTTTGTATGCAGTGGCGGAAGCAATCGCTATCAAAAGAATAACTCTTGATTTTCTGCAGTCCAGGAGATATGTTGGGAGCGATTGAGTTGAAAGTGATCCAGGAGACTTCCAATTTTGTGTCAGTTTTGGAATTAAATTCGACTATTGACCAGAGGAAAATAAAATCCGAGAAACGAAATGAAGAGCCATTTTGACAGGAAATTCCGTTCCACAAGTCTTTGACGCGCCTTGAAAAGGTGTCGACGGAAATTATGCTAGTTTGCTGTCCGCGAAGCAGCTAAAAGTTTCACAAATATACAAAATGTTAACACTTAAATCAGGAACCTGCTACAAAAACCAAACAAATAAACTCACAAAAAGTGGTATGACAATTTCCGAAGGCTCAAGAGGCGGCCGTCCGACAAGCTCCGGAGACTCAAACTTACAGACAAAAATTTCAACTTTGTTATCCGAAAATATTCTGAATTTTCCAACAAAAGACGCTTCGACGATGTCAAGGGGGCAATTCGTGAAAAAAGAGGCAGCATCAGCCAGGGGCCTCCACGAAATAACGACAGAAATTTTGCTTAGTTCAAGCATCAGTTAAAAAGCACTGACGTACCAACCGAGGATCCCATCACTAAACCGAATCCCCCTAGTTCCGTTGACTAAGCACTCACGTCCCACTTTTGTCATGGCATGATTTAAGCTCAAAATATCTACCAGAATTGACAAATCTATTGCAACATCTCAACTTATATGGAATGCGCGCTTTAAGAACTATTCAAGCATATGCGCAGCTTAAAAAACCAAAAACATTCATGTATTTGGCGCATCATGACTACCTAATGATAAATTATTCTTATTGACGAAACGAGAAGAGCCACAGCTGCAAGGACCAATCAAATTTGCAACTGGGTTATTCACGTTATCGCGCTGATTATGTACACATATGTAGACGATGCAAACAAGTTTATCAAAAGTACGGTGGTCACATATCACAGAAGGTTTTATCAATAATGGTAAAAAATTGCAAGTAATTGCTTTAACTAATACAACCTAAGCTGTGCCGGTAACTAAGACCTTCAATACAAACATATTTGAAGTAATATCGGCAATTTTGGTATTCTTTGCCAGTGCTTGTAAGCATTAGAAATAGAACTCTTGGTTCTTTTGCACATTTTTGCCATAACTGTACCAAACTTTTATCCGATTTGTGAATACTGCAAACATGAATCCCACGTCAATGTCCTCGAATCGTGAAAGT